AATTCAGTTTAATTCTCTTTACCTACAATTTGATGATTAGATACTGTAAAAAAATATAGGAAATCATCTGAGAGACTGCTTTTGATGAAAAGAAAAAGAAGCCCTGGTTAAAATTTAACCCTGGTTTAGCGCAAACGGGCGTTCGAACAACTGGGCCCAGTGTAGAAAAGAAATTTATATTCTTTTGCCGAGGCTGTGTTCGACGCTGGCTTTTTACTATGGCTTTAACATTGAAAGAAAGTTCGGATACATTTCTCGAAACTCACTGCGAAACTGCAATCCGATCTCTTCCTTGCTGTTGTTGTTGCATATTGTTGCTTTTTTTAGGAGCATGTTTTGGGAGGAAGAAATCTGCAGAGTATATTTTTAACCTGTGCGTATGCGACTCTCGTTTTATTGACGCACTTCCTAACAGGTGGTTACCATAAGTGTATATATTCTATAAGGTGTGCAGTCTTGCTGAACGTCTTCCCTGTCGCACATTGTAACAATTGTTGCATCGTTGGTTATAAACGAGTATTGCAAAGTGCGAAAAATGCCTGAGATCACAGCAATCAAAGAGGTTAAAGGATCTATCATCGAAAAAGATCTACGAATACGTTTCCTGGCGTTGACCTCTCGATGTATTTACTAACGTTCTTTGACATACCTTCTCTTTGGCAGTTTAGGTGAAAAATAACTTGTTCGAGGTTACTTTTCTCTTCTCGGTATTTTTTCAAATTACGTCTCAATTCTTCTTTGAACGCGTCAATTTTCCGTAGCAACAAGGCATTTTCTTTTCGAGTTTTGCCATAACAAACATTTCTTGCTGTGTTGGAGATAGTTCTTGGGTCCAAAACGTGGGGCTTTGAAAAGAATGTCCTCGGGAAGTTGTTATCCGTTTCGAGATATTTTTTTTGAGGCACATCGTAAAAACTCTGGTGTCTAACGCTGCAATCCATGTTTTAAATTACTTAACTGGATGTCGAATGCATTTCTTTCAATATTCTAAAATGTGTTTGCAGCTTTCAACTTTGAAAAAAAAACTGCTTTTGTGCGATTGGCTCAAACAGTGAATGATATGCCCCAGAAACTAATTAAAGATAAAATCCACTTTTTTAGCAAACCGTGCAGGTGTTAAGTGGCCACGCTTGAATTGACAAACCATATTGTCCGTTTTCTTATAGTCGACTGTTAAGCGATAACACTAGAATTGTCTTCGCTGAAACACTCTTTGGATGAATGTTTCCAAGGATCATATAAGTTCTAGCTTAAATTTAATTTTTTTTAAAATCTTTTTAGGCCAGTTCTCACTACATGAAAGGGGAAAGATAAATGTTATTTGAATATTCGGCTAATGGATTTTTTATTAGTCTACTAAAAAGTGTATTATAAGCATTCCTTTCACAGCTTGAGATAAAACTTTAAACTCAGTTAACCATCATTGTATAGCTTCTGTTAAAATAACGCCAAAAACAAAAACAAAACAAAAAACTTTACTCAACTAGAAAACCAAATCAAAACCAACAGCAGCAAAAACACAAAGACAGTGTGATACTCGCCTGACTACCAATGCAATTTTGCCTCGTGTTTTTGATGTTTCATTTGCTAAATCCTCATCTTAAATCCTCTCCTCTTTACAAAGATGATATGTAATTTCACATTAGGGTATAGCCTGCGCGCAGACGAAATTAAACTCTAGTTAACTCTGTCTGCGAAACAGCGCCGAAACCCTTGTTCTGGACTTCCAGCTGTGTACCCAGATTTGAGTACGCGCCAAGATTGGCCAGTTAAAAAAGGTCTTTGTTTTGTTTGTCGTGATCGCCAATCAGGTTGAAGGGAAATTCGAAACGCACTTCCGGTAATTCGTTGAGCCCGTTGGGGGTTCAGAACAAGGATCTCTGCGCTGCTTTGCAGACGGTACTAATCAGAGTTTAGTTATCGTCTGCACGCAGGCTAATTAGGGTACAGGTCTAGATCAACATTGTAAAGGGGAACCGGGGAAGAGTGAAGGGAGGCAGAGTAGTCTTTAACCCTTTAAACCCTAACATCAAAATTCAAATTCTCGTGTGTTACCCCTATACGTTTTCAATAGAAGTAGTGGGGAGAATTTGATTGAAGGATCAGTTATATTCATCTTGTGTGATCATATCCTTAATTCTCATGACCACACTGTTTTACAAAGCATTGATATTACAAGGAGAAAATTGATGCTGATCACTCTTAGGGCTTAAAGGGTTAACGATTTTTGCTGGAGTTAGAGATTGTAGCTTCGCATTCACTCGTGCAAAGTGCAAAGAGCAAGTTTTTTTTTTTAAAGTAACGCATTACACAGTCGTATCCCCTTGATTGAGACGGCTGTATTCGTAGGCTAATATAGATTTTCTCCTCGTGGTCCCCCATCCCGTGCAGCTTGAAAATTTAGACCAGTAACTTGTGGGTATTTTTCAAAATATACCCCATTAAAACATTGAAAATCTTGAAAATCTTGAAAATCTTGAAAATCCAGTTCCTGTCAAAACGCGCTAAAACAAATCATTCGAGGTTGGCCTGGAGGGTGGAGGGTTGGGGTCGTATAGTATATACCAATTTAGTAACATAAAAAAGATCAATGTCGATGAATGGTTTCCCAAACTATATAATGTGGGTTCAAGGTCAACGAAAAGAACGGATACTGTTAAGAAGAAGCAAGGCTTAGGTGCTGTTTACATGAAGGAAGATCGTAGCACCAGGAAGATCCTAGAAGGCGGATCATCTTAGCGCCATGCCGTAAAATTCCGAAAATAAGCCCTGGGNGCTAATGGATTTTTTATTAGTCTACTAAAAAGTGTATTATAAGCATTCCTTTCACAGCTTGAGATAAAACTTTAAACTCAGTTAACCATCATTGTATAGCTTCTGTTAAAATAACGCCAAAAACAAAAACAAAACAAAAAACTTTACTCAACTAGAAAACCAAATCAAAACCAACAGCAGCAAAAACACAAAGACAGTGTGATACTCGCCTGACTACCAATGCAATTTTGCCTCGTGTTTTTGATGTTTCATTTGCTAAATCCTCATCTTAAATCCTCTCCTCTTTACAAAGATGATATGTAATTTCACATTAGGGTATAGCCTGCGCGCAGACGAAATTAAACTCTAGTTAACTCTGTCTGCGAAACAGCGCCGAAACCCTTGTTCTGGACTTCCAGCTGTGTACCCAGATTTGAGTACGCGCCAAGATTGGCCAGTTAAAAAAGGTCTTTGTTTTGTTTGTCGTGATCGCCAATCAGGTTGAAGGGAAATTCGAAACGCACTTCCGGTAATTCGTTGAGCCCGTTGGGGGTTCAGAACAAGGATCTCTGCGCTGCTTTGCAGACGGTACTAATCAGAGTTTAGTTATCGTCTGCACGCAGGCTAATTAGGGTACAGGTCTAGATCAACATTGTAAAGGGGAACCGGGGAAGAGTGAAGGGAGGCAGAGTAGTCTTTAACCCTTTAAACCCTAACATCAAAATTCAAATTCTCGTGTGTTACCCCTATACGTTTTCAATAGAAGTAGTGGGGAGAATTTGATTGAAGGATCAGTTATATTCATCTTGTGTGATCATATCCTTAATTCTCATGACCACACTGTTTTACAAAGCATTGATATTACAAGGAGAAAATTGATGCTGATCACTCTTAGGGCTTAAAGGGTTAACGATTTTTGCTGGAGTTAGAGATTGTAGCTTCGCATTCACTCGTGCAAAGTGCAAAGAGCAAGTTTTTTTTTTTAAAGTAACGCATTACACAGTCGTATCCCCTTGATTGAGACGGCTGTATTCGTAGGCTAATATAGATTTTCTCCTCGTGGTCCCCCATCCCGTGCAGCTTGAAAATTTAGACCAGTAACTTGTGGGTATTTTTCAAAATATACCCCATTAAAACATTGAAAATCTTGAAAATCTTGAAAATCTTGAAAATCCAGTTCCTGTCAAAACGCGCTAAAACAAATCATTCGAGGTTGGCCTGGAGGGTGGAGGGTTGGGGTCGTATAGTATATACCAATTTAGTAACATAAAAAAGATCAATGTCGATGAATGGTTTCCCAAACTATATAATGTGGGTTCAAGGTCAACGAAAAGAACGGATACTGTTAAGAAGAAGCAAGGCTTAGGTGCTGTTTACATGAAGGAAGATCGTAGCACCAGGAAGATCCTAGAAGGCGGATCATCTTAGCGCCATGCCGTAAAATTCCGAAAATAAGCCCTGGGGCTTTTATTTTTCAAAGGTCCTTTTTGAGGAGCTTATTTTTGGAGGGGCTTATATTCGGAGGGGCTTACCTATGGAGGGAAATTTGCGTTTCAAAGTCAGTTAGGCTAGCCTTATAGTTAAAAGGATTTTTACCGTTTTTGCTTTATTTTACTTTGTATTTAAAGGCAAGTTCCAAGTACAAGCCCCCGGAGGGCTTATATTCGGAGGGACGATTTAACGGAGAGTTTTTTGCGTTACGAGTTTGGGGGGCTTATATTTGGAGGGGCATATGCATGGAGGGGCTTATTTTCGGAATTTTACGGTATGTTTTCTGTATTCAGTTTACATGAGAAGGGTTGTACTTGTCCCTAGCGCTAGGATCGTCCTAGCTAGTACTAACACAATGTAAACTACTTTCGCTAGGAAGACTCATGACTAGTAATAGGGACCAACGAGACAAGAATGGAGCGGTTCGTTCAGTGGGTAATCAAAGCAATGAAGGCCAACCATTTCGTTTGGCGTTACTACGAGCAGATAATTGTGATAATTCTGCTGAAAGGTGGTTATTAACGCCAGTAAAGAGAACAGAAGGGCCCAATTGCTTTTCCCGCCATCTTTAATTCCGCCTCTACTTGGTAACCACTCGGGCCGAAATTTCTAGCTGCATCTAAACCCAACCAAAAAAGTTGTTCCGCCTTCTACGATCTTCTACCAGCCCCTTATTGTACACCAAGGAGAATGATGGATGCTTTTTGTAAGAATTTAGTCTTGACTTCGAGAGAGGGCAAAATCAATAAATACCACTTCATACTCCCAAATGCCGAGGTCTTTTCGGGAACTAACTTGCCATTCTTACCAGTTTGTTCCAGGCGAAGATTGTAAAGAGCCCATTGAAGATTTCGCATGTCATCCTCATAATGTCGAATTCTAGTTTCATTGTCTTTTCGTAAATCGCCTAGCGTGGACTGTAGAACACCAAACTCGCGCCTGTCTCTGCACAAAAACGAACGCTTAGCATCTTTTTTGACTCCAAAGATATCCATTGTTTCCTCTCTGCAGCGAGATTCATTTTCTTTGGTAATCTGAATTTTCGCTGTTGTTGATAAATCCATTCCTTGACCAGCGCGAGCAAGGCAGCTTACAACTCAAACTGCTTTAATTAAAAAACTACATTGACGGTTCTCTCTAGTGAGATAAATTCGACTGTGAATATATAAAGCAACTGTTCACAACGTTTGTAAAACATTTCATCGCTTCCATTCCGCTGTCTTAAAATAGCCACTTCAGCTGCTGCTTGTTTTGTAAATAAATCAATTAAAAATTGGAAAAGAAATAGCAAGAATATGGAGTCACATATCGAGAGCTCAGCTTCTCCGGAAATCTATGAACATTCAAGCGGCAAAAAAAGAAAGGTGGGTTTGATGGCTGATTTCATAAGCCTGCACGTACATAAAAGAAAAAATATTTACTCATTAAAGTTTTCTTTCTCTAGGCCGGAGGTTGCCCCTTTCGTTTTTACAATTAGTTTCACTTAAGCAACTCAAAAGTTGACAATTGATGAAATGCTATATGCTTTAGTGATACCTTTAAAATAGAAGCTATTCCTGACAATGTGTGTTATGCTGATGATCAAGCTGATTCTGAGTTTACATGTAAAAACCATTTTATCTCTAGATTGAATTATTAATTACTAGTTCTAACTTTTGGATCTGTAGAAGAAATTGTACGAGGAAAACGTTGAAATAATCCTCTTTGGCTGCTTTTTTGCATGATACTATTACGTTTCTTAGCCTGTTTTAAATAAATGAAATTTTGAATACAAAATATACTTCTCAGTTTTTGACATTTGAGCTAAAATATAATGCTCTCAAATAGTAGCGGAATGATACTTCCGAATCATTCTTCACGGCCCGTCATAGCTCCTAATGCCTAAGCGTGTTAATTAAAAAAAATCCTCAAAGCTGATGCAGGTTGATATTTCAGTAATCTTATTTATTTTCCGACATTCAGCTTTGAAACAATTTATTATGTTTATCAAATAACATTCGTCGATTATTTGTGATGAAACAATCTGATAAATAACGCGTGTGTAACTAGACCAAAAAGCTATGCATAATGCGCCGTAAAATTAGGAAACTGACCAAATTTAAAGGGGATTTGTCCAAAGCGAGCCAAGATATTGTGCCACAAAGTTGCGAAATTTTACAGACGCTTGTACTTGTTTATATTTCCAGTCGTGTCTACAGATTTTCCCAGTAAAAAGTAGAAAATACCGTGGAAGGGTTATTTAGCCAATTAAATGAAAATCAGGGATTTTCTTTCCAAACTAGAGCAAGAGAGAATGAGCTAAGAGATCATTCTCTCTTGACCAGAATCATTGAACTATAGCAGATCAGCTGTTTTTCGTCCACCGGAGAAAAAAATAAAAATAAAACTCAATTTTACATATCACGATCTTTTTTTTATTTTTAAATATTCCATAATAAACATTCACATTCTGGCCATTTTTTGACGACGTGACCTGATCGATGATTCTGTCTCCACTACGCTACATTATAACAAGTGGATTAGTATGCGTGTTTTGATAGTAGACTTGGTGGACTTTATATCAATTTTGGTATCCTTTAGCATTACACGCTTATTGTTACAATCCATATGATTGCGACTTTTAAGAAGGACTCGAAAAAAACTCGGGAACGGGAAGAGTGTATCTAACATTGCTTGAACCTGCAATGACAGATACGTTTACACCATGACCACCATGGTTATATTCAAGGCTGTGTACTCAGAGCGCCTAAAATAAGTCAAATCAATTAAAATGAAAAATAGGAAGAACGTGAAAAATTTTCATTTTAAGATTCTCTATAGAAATGTGATGGTGAATTAAGGGTTTCTGTTCGTCTTTTTCATTTTACTTATTTCCTGATTTTAGTGGGAAGTAAGCAGTATAATTTTAGGGGGAGTTCCGGTTTTCAGGCTTTTTTAGCTTTGGGTTTTGTCTCACTATACAATGGAAAAGAGCAACTGGGGCGAGATGATGTCAATAGACCGGGGAAGCCAGGGAACAACCTGGTTCCCAGGCACCGCACTCATGTTTGCGACGTTGCCCACCATTAAGTCCACCCTTAGGGTCCCTTTGAACGAATCCACTATGCTTGTCCAACATCATTAAACATTGTTGGAAAATCATCCAACATTGTTAGACGATAACGTCGTCAAAAAAGGTGCTAACTAACGTCGAGAGATCACGACCAGCAGCAAACAAACACGCGAGACAGATGTAGCAATTTACAGTTTTAATATCTCAGATCTATACTAACTCATACTTAAATATCAAAGTAGTTCTTCCCCTCTATTAGCAAAGGTATTGTTGTATGGATATAAAACGAATGTAGCCGAATAGAACCAAAACGAATGAGTTATATGAATACGGAATACTATAGGCCATTTCCAAGTTACCTCAAACCTCTGTTTGAAAGCGAGGCAAAGTGCGAAGCCATTGATATCAAAACAGTTTTTTTATTCTCATGGAAATAAAACTCAGTTCACAAGAAAGGTTTGGCACTTATCCACGTTTTGAAAGTGACAGTTTTTGGAACTCGGAACTGGCCTATTGAATCATCAACTATCTGCATGTTTTGTGATCTGAATTTTTTTTCGATACCCATTGAAGCATTGCTTCGATCCTCATTGGATTTACCCCATTCTTTACTTCCCTCAATATCTTCATCAAATTTTTCAGAATTGGTGATGAGGCTTATTTTTCTGCAGGAGTAACTCTGGCTCTTATTTTTATACCATTCGTCTCCGTCAACATAATGCTACATTACTTCTTTGTTTTGCTCGGTGTTGCGTCATGGCTTGCTCTGCTGCCTCTGCTGTTACGAGCTTTAGACTTTGATGAAGACTTATCGTTCTTTTCTTGGTTTTTCTCTTTTCGCGGTTTGCCAGAACTTGTGTTCTTTTTAGTAGACTCAGCTTCAGATTTCGAATTAAATTCATCTCTAGGGGCATTATCTTGCAAAACCTGTATCTGACTCTGAATCACTTCACCGACAAACTGTTCAACGTTGGAATCATCTGTGATTTCAAGGTGATTTTCACCTTCGTCATTACTTTGATCATCCCTACGGGGACTTTCGTCAGAAATTGTCGCCCCAGTGTTGTCAATTTGCTCAACAACTTCCTCCATAACTTCTTCCGCCGGAAGTGAATCAAGCGTTTTCTTTTTCTTTGTCTGGCGCGTATCCTTTATTTCATCCGCTTCCTCTTGTAGCATACCGCTAGCCTTAAACACGCTCCCGACCCTGAAGCCTTCGTCTTTGTCATTATCTGTCTTTTCTAAGGATGTGTCTTCGGGTATAGGTGAGTCGTCTTCTAGCCATCTAGGTGGTGAAGACGATATCGTGAAATTATTCACGCTCTCAAGGTCCTGAGATACACTAGCCCGGAGCAGAGCATGAGAGATTGGAGGGTGTGGGGAAGAGATTGGATTAGTGTCATTTGGAGATGTAACGGACATGACGTTCGTATCAAATGATTGATCAATTGATTGTCTGTTGGTTTTGCTTTCACCATTAGCTTTCGTTTTTTGCCGTTTTTTCCTAGTTCCATGTTTTTTCGTCAAACGTTGCGCCCCGGTTTGTATCAATTGTCCGTTGCCGATTGGGGGTAAAAATGCTGCCCTAGGGCTTCTCGACACAAAGGTACTTCCACCGTAATTTTCACGCTTAAAAGGTTTACCTCGTTCTACCGCGACGTAGAGTCCGCCAGTGACCAGCTCACCAGGAGTAAACACAAGCTTTCCATCAATTGTATACAACGCAGCAATGGCTGCCGCCAAAAGAACATGGTCCTGTACAATGTTCAAAATCTGTTCCATACTCTGTTGCAGCCGCTTTTGAAGAACGATTTTCACACTTGGCTTGAAAACATCCCCATTACAGAAAACGTGTAAGATTTTCAGATCGCGTTTTCNGAGTTATATGAATACGGAATACTATAGGCCATTTCCAAGTTACCTCAAACCTCTGTTTGAAAGCGAGGCAAAGTGCGAAGCCATTGATATCAAAACAGTTTTTTTATTCTCATGGAAATAAAACTCAGTTCACAAGAAAGGTTTGGCACTTATCCACGTTTTGAAAGTGACAGTTTTTGGAACTCGGAACTGGCCTATTGAATCATCAACTATCTGCATGTTTTGTGATCTGAATTTTTTTTCGATACCCATTGAAGCATTGCTTCGATCCTCATTGGATTTACCCCATTCTTTACTTCCCTCAATATCTTCATCAAATTTTTCAGAATTGGTGATGAGGCTTATTTTTCTGCAGGAGTAACTCTGGCTCTTATTTTTATACCATTCGTCTCCGTCAACATAATGCTACATTACTTCTTTGTTTTGCTCGGTGTTGCGTCATGGCTTGCTCTGCTGCCTCTGCTGTTACGAGCTTTAGACTTTGATGAAGACTTATCGTTCTTTTCTTGGTTTTTCTCTTTTCGCGGTTTGCCAGAACTTGTGTTCTTTTTAGTAGACTCAGCTTCAGATTTCGAATTAAATTCATCTCTAGGGGCATTATCTTGCAAAACCTGTATCTGACTCTGAATCACTTCACCGACAAACTGTTCAACGTTGGAATCATCTGTGATTTCAAGGTGATTTTCACCTTCGTCATTACTTTGATCATCCCTACGGGGACTTTCGTCAGAAATTGTCGCCCCAGTGTTGTCAATTTGCTCAACAACTTCCTCCATAACTTCTTCCGCCGGAAGTGAATCAAGCGTTTTCTTTTTCTTTGTCTGGCGCGTATCCTTTATTTCATCCGCTTCCTCTTGTAGCATACCGCTAGCCTTAAACACGCTCCCGACCCTGAAGCCTTCGTCTTTGTCATTATCTGTCTTTTCTAAGGATGTGTCTTCGGGTATAGGTGAGTCGTCTTCTAGCCATCTAGGTGGTGAAGACGATATCGTGAAATTATTCACGCTCTCAAGGTCCTGAGATACACTAGCCCGGAGCAGAGCATGAGAGATTGGAGGGTGTGGGGAAGAGATTGGATTAGTGTCATTTGGAGATGTAACGGACATGACGTTCGTATCAAATGATTGATCAATTGATTGTCTGTTGGTTTTGCTTTCACCATTAGCTTTCGTTTTTTGCCGTTTTTTCCTAGTTCCATGTTTTTTCGTCAAACGTTGCGCCCCGGTTTGTATCAATTGTCCGTTGCCGATTGGGGGTAAAAATGCTGCCCTAGGGCTTCTCGACACAAAGGTACTTCCACCGTAATTTTCACGCTTAAAAGGTTTACCTCGTTCTACCGCGACGTAGAGTCCGCCAGTGACCAGCTCACCAGGAGTAAACACAAGCTTTCCATCAATTGTATACAACGCAGCAATGGCTGCCGCCAAAAGAACATGGTCCTGTACAATGTTCAAAATCTGTTCCATACTCTGTTGCAGCCGCTTTTGAAGAACGATTTTCACACTTGGCTTGAAAACATCCCCATTACAGAAAACGTGTAAGATTTTCAGATCGCGTTTTCCCCACTCGTAATCCATCTTATGTCTTCCCTCGGTTACAATTTTCTTGGGGGAAAAGTTCCCTTTTCGGGGCGGGCGTGGCTTCAAGGTACCCAGATCTGCATAGTTCAGCTTTTTAAATTCTTCTCTCCCGGCAGCTACGTACACGCTTTTGTTCTGAATGCCTTCAAGATTTTGCACGGGACGCCCACCGATTGGCGTGCAAATTTTTCGCACGGCGTTGAACGCGGATAAACGCAAGGTGATCTCATCATACAAAGCCTCCATGGAACGGATGCGACGCCTGTTGATGACCATCGTCTTGCCCAGAAAGTTGGGGTTCCCATTTTTGTAAACTTTAACAGTGACTGTCGGAGCAAACGTAGACGCTAGCGCTGTCATTCTATTTACCTAAAAGAGAAAGGTTTTATGTCTGTCAATGGAAAACTGGAAATAGTAGAATAGACTCAATCAAGGCAGATCAGGTCGGCAGGCGAGGTAACGGAGGAAAATATTTCAATTTCCCGTGGTTCAAAAGAGCATGAGTTAGCAGTTGTGGATCAAGGGGAGGGGCCCGGGGGGCCCGCCCCTCCCTTATCTCAGGGTCTGGATGACCACCCCCCTTATCTGAAGGTCTGAATCAGCCACTGGTTAGTCTTAAAGTGCCCATGTGAAACCTCGGTTTAAGACCAACCCGTTGACACTGAAAAGACCAATGAGAAATAGTGACACTTAGATCCTTTGTTATATTCCATCCCTTAACAAAGGTTTTTAGAAGTACACACCTATGTCCAGGATTGAGCACTGTCGCAAAAAATTGCTAACAAATTGTCTTCGCAATTTTGGCAAAAAAAGATTTAAGGAAACTGTTGTCAGAAATGTATAGAAGAAAAATAATAGCAAATATAGCAAGAATAACAAATTCAACAAGGATTGAAAGCTGTAGAAAAAACATGTTTGATAGAAACTGCTTGCAGAAATCTAATGAAAAGAAGTCTGCAAAAATCGCAAAAGTAACAAGAACTTTCATTGCAACAAAAAAAACCTGATAAAAGTCGCAAGAATAACAAGAATAGCAACTAAGCAAAAGTTCAGACTTATAAAGAAAAAGGTAAAGAAGGTCCTAAAGAAGTCCGCAAACGTCGCAAAAATTGAAAAAGTAACAAGAATATTTTGTTGCAATAACATCAACAACAACAACAACAACAACAACAAAAACGCTAACAAAATGCACCGCAAGAATAAGAACAATAATAAAAATTTAGCAAAAATTTTGACTTTTTTTATATAAAGAAGAAAGGTAAAGAAGGTCCTCTAGAAGCCTGCAAATTTCGCACAAATCGCAAAAGTGACAAGAATTTTCATTCAACAACAACAAAACACGCTAACAAATATCGCAAGAATAGCAAGAATAACAAATTAAGCAAAAGTTCAGACTTGTAAAGGAGAGTAGCAAAGAGGGCCTAGCTCTAAAAGCAAGAATTTTACTTACAAAGAAAAACACTTTAACAAATATCGAATCCATACCAAGAATAACAAATTTAGCAGAAGTTCAGACTTATATAGAGCAAAGGAAACGGATTTTCCAGACAAATTGACACTAAAAGTTAAGCGCTCCGTCGGTTCCGCGAGGGTTTGCGAGACACGTATTTCTCGTTTAGAAAAGGCTTATTACAATGTGACTGTATGACGATGTAAAAATATCATATACCCCATTTAATTATACGACCAGATTTGCATGGCTATCAGCACTGCGATGGTCGTATTAGCAGGGTTCTATTGCGATGTGAAAATTGACTTGCCAAATATCTTCTAATACATTTCTCGGCTTAAAATACAAAATATTTCAAAGTTTATAACACAATAATTTATCCATATCAATGTTAAAAGCCCTGTTTGTCAAAAATGGAGCACGGGCCATTTCCTCATCCGACGAGCTAAAAGCTTAGTGTTAGCTAATAAAGTATTAAAAACATATACACACTTTTACTTTTCAGTTACCGAATTAGGTTTATTTAATTTGTTGCCGAGATATGCGATACAGCTGGCGAGATAAAAGCTTAATCAGTTTAAATAGATGAGCAAAAATTTGCAAATTCACTGAAGAGCACTTTAATTTTGCTAAAAGCTCTCTTTTTTCCCTTAAAAGGGCTCTTTGATATTGTAAGCACTATGACAACAAGAACATGTTGAGCAAATAGATTGACGGTCGTTATGGCCGTACTGTTTAACAACAGAGTTTTCATCGTTCTTGAATCTCCAAGCAAACGCGTAGCAAAAAGAAAGCTCAGGTTTAGAGAACATAAAAAGCTTTGATTCGTGCATGAACAGTAGTATATCCAATATTTACTGATCATCCTGAAAAGTCGAGGGATGACGAAGGCAGTCTTACCATCTATTTAAGTTAAGGCTATTTCGTTAAAATTGAATGCGCTTGAACATGTTCCGAAAATTAACGTAATGCTTTAGGAAAAACAAGAAAAAGTTAGTGATGACCCAGCTATCAACTGTCAGTACCAAGAGCAAGGACTCAGTAAACAGCTAGCCGAAAACTGAAACAACTAGCCCCATACATGAATATATATTTTCATATTTTACAGTAAGGTGACTGACCACGTCGGTCGACTAGCTAGTTATTCGCACTATTTGTTTCTTTTTTTATGTCGACTTCATCAAAAGCTACAACTAACCAAGCATTTATGGCTCAAATCTCAGAGTACATTTTCATCTTGGCATCGTCCAATTACTTTATAGAGTACGTAACTGATTGGTTTCAAAAATATTTGAATATGTTGACAATGTTAAGTGCTACTGTGATCGAATATTGAACTGTAGAGGATTTTTCAATACAGCAGCCAGTTTCGTAAAAGTTATTAAGAAAAAATTATCATGCACTAAAAAATAATAATAATGGCGGAGCACTCGCGTACCTTTTGGGAGCTTGTCTGCCAGTCGCCGGAGCCTTCTCCTTTCCCAGCTGGCGTCTTCGTGTTGAAGTCTCTTCGCAGCTTTTAAGTACAATCGTGCTGCAAAAGAATCATTGTGGTGCTGATGATATTTAAGTTTGTTCACGCTGATTACAATTTCAGATTCCTTCTGATTAGGTATCGTTGTTTTGGTAATAGGTGAAAATGTAGTCTCTTAGCGCCGATGAACCCACCAGCTTGTATAGGGGACGACATAAGCAACATACATTTTCATTTTCCTTTTGGAAGTAAAAGAAATATGGCATCGATTATTGCCCACCGAAATTCTTGTTAATAAAACCAAATCAGGCGGCGTGTAAACTTTGTTTTTTTCCTCGTACGGCGGACTTCAATTCCAACCAAGCTTTTGTCTACCAGTTTAAGGGGAAGAAAAAAACAATTCCCAATATTTCTTCTTACGAAGGAATGATTCAAAGTCCGGCGAATCTTTCAGGACTACATGATCCGCGGATAATTCCAAGGCACTCTTTAAAGCTTTGATTTAATGGTCTTTAATTTACTTGCCTGATAGAGAGTGGAAAATTATTCTGCAACCACTTACTTTAAGCGCACCAA